TGAGTGGGAATGCCTATTTGACAGTAAAGCTAAACTTCTCCAATCGCCTCCCACAAAGCCACTGATATATTCAGCCACCAGGAATTGATATTTCTGCTAAGCAGCTTCATCTCTACACTGCTGTTTCATCGCCTTCTCTTGTTTCTGGAAAGGGAAGTCCTTCATTTAAGCAGAGTTTCAGCCAAGTGTACAAGTAATTAGTTTCTACTAAAAATTTCATTATAGTATTTGTATCTATGCATTGTATTGCTATATTAGTCAGTTGCTTATATAGTGTAATGACTAAGTTCAAGAAAATGATCAATAGATAAGTAATCTGTGCTAGACGTATGTCATGGTCTAAGTGGTCTACATCCTACTGACCAGTTGTTAAATATCAGAAGTGAGCAGAAAATGTTCAACTCCACATGAGTGGATAGAAAAAAACTGTTGTTTCATATTTTAGAGACTTCTAAACTGTAGAATTTCCTAAAGTTCTGTAAGTACAACTCTTTAAATAGTTTGTATTACCATGATCTCATGAAAGCTAGATAAAATTAAACTAAGACCACTGCAAATTTTGGTTTAAGGCCTTAAATAATTTTAATTTATTTCTGGTTTACTCATTGTTTAATTATTCACATTATTGATAGCCAGGAAGTAAGTACAACATTTTTCTCCCCTTTTCCATTTGGTCAGACTTAGGAAGTATCGACTGTTTCAAGCAAGTTAATGTAACATTTCTCAGTAGTAAAGTAGTTACCAGTTATCACCCAACAGGTTTTAATTTCAATCCACCTAAACCTCCTTATTCATACATTGACCTACCCTCAAGCAGAGTGAAGTATCTAAACTAAGCTAACATTAAATGATCCAAAAACCATTCTCTTTCAGATAAAATGAAAATCCTTATTTCAGAGATTCTAGTATCTACACTAGTGAATTAAGAGTGCACTATTGGATCAGGCAAAACATAAATAGAACAATAAATTTTAATAGTTCACCAAAAACTGGAATGCAACATCTATCTTTCAACAACTTTATTAACATAGTCAAGCAGTGATTAACATTCACATCTATTATGTCACATCATACAAATGTAAATACAAAATTACTACAGTACAATATATATTCTCTGCATGATCCAAAATATTTGGTGGCCCCAAAAACTCTTAAAATTCAGCAGCTTATCAAAAATTAAAACCATATTCGATTTAAAATGAAGTTCTGTTAGCATATAGGCAGACTTCAAGAAATATCAGTCAATTTAGTACAGTTTGAGAGGTTGCAGGAGGATATGTTTGAAGGAAACATTCCAACATTGTGGCAGATACAGAAACATAAGATTTAAAGCTTTCAAGCAAACTTATACAACCTAAGTTGTCAGCAGAAAGGTCTGGTCACCTTTCATTTAAAACTATTTTGTGTACTTCATCCAATTTAAAATTTTAGAAGTCTCTAGTATCAGTAGGTCAGACATATGTACAACAGAACTATATCTTTCCACAAAAAAAGATTTCACACTGCAGATTTCAACAGCCAAATAAACCTCCTTATACCAATCTTTTTATTCTCATTGCTGTCCTCACAAAAACCACTCAAACCTTGTTAATTTTGTTGCTCACTCGAAATAAGAAAATAGATACCTAAAGCAAAAAGTAGCACAATAGAACAATTTTTTAGAAAAATGACACTATACTGTGAGTGCTGAATTCTTTGAGATGTGGATTTGGCTTACTTAAAGCATACTGCAAACCACACAGGGATTCATCCTATAGAGCCATTTCAAACTTCCCTCATTTACGTACATTCAAGCGAGTGAGTATCATTATTCTAGCAGAATATACAAAGCAAGTAAAGAAGAGTACTTGCCTCAGTTCCCCATTTAAAACTGGCTTGCTCCAACCGTTTAAGTGCAAAGAGCAAGCATCAGTGGCAGACAAAATGCAGTTTCTACTGGAGATTACATAGAAGATTGATGGATACAAATCAACCTGGAGAATGCATAGGTGAGAGAAATACATAGCTATTGAACAAGCTTTATTTATTTAAGGTAAGATTATGTAATATTACAACAAATATGTGTGCAAACTACATCAGCATCCATCTGAGATTAAGTGGAGGATGTTTTGCCATTTCATTGTAGAGCTTAACCTTCATTTAAGATAAAAAGGTCACACTTTAGGCCCTATATAAAAGCCTTCTATCATCCTCATGAAAGAGATAGTATGGAAGCAGTTAGTGTTTAGTTACAACTTCTTTCCTTGAAAATATCTGAAAGAAAAGATTTCCAATTTAATGTTGCATTTAAAGCATTTTAAAATAAATATTTCATTTGTTTGAATATGGATGCATTCTCCTTTAGGGAAGAAAGTTTTTGCACCTTATCTGTTAATACATTCAATATGAATAATATAGGTGAAGCAAAAGTCATTAATGTCTCACAGTTGAAGTTAATTAAAAGTAAGTTTAAGACAAGAGGAGCTGCCTAAATGAAATACATAAACTGATAAAATTACAACACATTTCTATTAGCATGTGTTCTGAACAAAAAGGGTACAAGAGTATTCACCTGAGATAAAGCTAGTATTTGAATATTTGTAAGTAGCAATGAGTTTTGCTTGAGGAAAGCCACTTGAAATTTTAAAATATACATTTTACTATTATACAATATATGCAGTTTAAGTAATTAAGACTGATGCCAACATGAAGTCCTAAAAAAAAAATCACAGTGTGTATCAATATTATTAATCACAAAATTTATGCTACTTCATAACTTTTAAAAATTATAACAATTACAAATTTTAACCTATTCTTCTAAAAGTGGTCTTCTGAGTACAAGCTTCAAGAAGCAATGAACTAAAGCATAAGAATTAGTTTCTTACAATTTAAATATATACATACTCACTGATTAAGAAAATACTCAAGCTTTGGAAAAAAAAAAACCTTAAACTGATTACTTTTGCTTGCCACTGGTTAAAATAATAAACTAGTCTGTTTTCCAAAATGAAATGAGTGGTTTCCTGACTGTGTTATGTAAAAAAATTTAATATTGAACTTCACTTAAGACTAATTTAACAGCAATTTTGAACTGCCGAAAAGATGCATTTATAAGGATTTTAAACACTTTCTGTTACCAACTTAGGTTGATCAGCAGCTTTTTTCCACTCTCAGAATCCTTCAAAAAGGGAAACTCAAAATAGGAAAAGGCATATATAAAAACAGTAAACACTGACCTCCTGAGGTTTCTACAACAAAATTATTCAAGTAGAAAATCTACACCATTACATAGCAGCGGCTATTTCTGTAGTTTAGCACACTAACAGCACTTTTTCAGTGTGTAAGGAGCAAATGAAGTAAGCCGTGCTTTTAGCATGCCAAGAGGCAGAAACACTGGAATGTAACAAAGACAAACTCACAATTCTACCAGAACATTCAGTCAACATTCAAGAACTGTCAAGACTACACCACAAGAATTAAGATGCTTTTTATATATCCCATGATGCAATAATTCAGTTTTAAATATTAATGCTGTTTCAGAACTTCTCTTACCTCACATTACACCCTAAAAGGATTCTGCAAATCTCTGCACTATATTATGCATTAGGAATATGGTTTATTTGCTTTAAAATATACCATGAGAGAACTTACTGATACAAAACACTATTTTGTTTATTCTTGTACTAGTTATTCCTACCCTTTTAAATTATATTCCTTGCTGTCATAACAGATCAGTTCACATCTGTTTAATACCAACATGTATTAAAACAAATATGCACAAAAGTAGCATCCTAAGCTAATCCAAGGTGAAGTGGAGTGGTTTTATTTGGTTAAAGGGGCTTTCTGAAATTTAAGAAGTTTTAGTTAAACCCAGATTTTAGTTGTTATGTTACTGTATTATTTAGGTAGGTTTTCTATTCTAAAAACTTTTTAATGTCATTTATCTGCAACTCTTCCTTAATGTTCAAACACACTTAAAATTAAAGCAAGTTTGGGTTTAAAATAATATCCCACCTTGCCAAATGCTGGGCAGGGATGTTCCCTTTCAAAAGTAAACATTTTTTATTGAATTTTACTAATTTATATCAGAGTTATTAGTAGAGAAGGTATTTTTGGTTTGCTATCAAAGTAATGTAACTTGAAATCAAGTTGTCACATGCAATTTTGAACAAATTGAATGAATACTATGTAGTGGCATTATCAAGTATATTTCATACAGTACATGTCCAAACTATGCTTCAGGCATAAGCCACTAAAATTTGCAAAGCCAAAAAATAGGGGTGTGGTGTGGGGGGACGACAGGACATAAAACATGCATGTGATCATGCATTGAAAAAAAAAAAAGTCTAAACTCTTTAAAGAGCATTTATAAATTCACACTCACACAGCTCAAACTTCAGTGCAATGCCTAAATCAACAGTCAAAGAACAGAAACCATGCAAAGAAGAACAAGTTCTTAAAAGAGCCCCAACCAAAAACAAACCTCAAACCAAACTAAAACCAAAGCAAACAAAAACAAACAAAAAAAAACCAAAATCCCAAACAAAAACAAAAACAAAAAAACCCAAAAAAAAAAAAATCTCCACAACCCCCTCCAAGACCCTGCAAAATACACACACAAAAAAAAATCCCCAAAACCAACCAACCAAAGAACAAAACAAACAAACAAACAAACAAACAAACAAACAAAAAATAAACCAGAAAACACCAACTAAACCAAAACTGTTATCCAGTATCCATTCTGCAATGCAAAGGTGAGAAACTAAATCTACAAAAAGGCTGTTATGGCTTTATTTTGTTTTGCAGATTAATAATGCAGCACTTGAAAAATGGAAAGGTGTGGCTTCACCTCTGACCAGCAGAGCTAAAAGTCTCTCCATTTTCCTTTATCATCATGGGATACTCTTTAGGCAATCTAAATTAATAAAGACTTGCCATTTTCAGATGGACACAAGATCAAGTGTACCAGTTAGGATTTCACATTCACAGTACATAAGAAAATACACATGGAAGGAAAAGTAAAGCGTTAACTTAACAAGGATTTATTCACAGGAATACATGTAAGTAGAGAAAAAAAAACACAACAGAAAAGCTAAACAAATGAAATGAAGAGGATCCAAACCAGCTTTCACTCTGTAGCTTTAAACTTGCACCCTTGTGCATTTAACTACATCACAAAGGGCCACCAACATGCGCCAATACAGTGTAGATACCCTGCATTACATCCATTAACTTAAACATCTCTTAAGATCATGCTTTGAACAAAAAAAAAGCATAGAAGATAATACGTTGAGTGGGAATAAACACAAATATAGCAATCTTGTCATCAACTTCTACAATTGTCCTTACGTGCCAACTAACATTTATGCAGCCTTTAACGGGTCTTACCATGTAACTCATTTTAGAGATTCTGATAAATCACTAGTATATAACCATGCAGAAAGCACATCACACTGACAGCACAGAGGCAAATATTTTGCACAGCTATATCAGCTTTCCACATTGTGCAGGTTACACACAATACAATATCAATCTTATTCTTAACAGATCCTAAAAAGGTATTTCAAGGCCTAATTGTTAACTACAGTACTTTATATCTATATTCTTAATAAAAATAAACTCCACTGAATCTTAAAAAGTAATTTTAAATGCAGGGCTATATTGAATTGGTAAACTGCAACACAAAACTGGCGCAACATAGGTAAATGTATACCAATTTCACTCTATTTGATGCAAGCATGCTACTTTCCCACTAATTAAAATTACTTCTGATCACTATGAGCCAGAATGCATGCCTGAACCTTAAACTGCAAGTTAAGAATAATGCCTTACTCTAGAAATCAAAACTAACAAAGTACAATAATAAAATCATATCCACTACCTTGTTGTTTTTCTTAATGTAAAAATTAAGATGTCAATCTTTCCTTTGCAGTGTCCCTCTCCTTACCCCAAAAATGAAAGGAGTGACTTATTTGGCAGCTTGCAGGTTGCTTCATTTTGTCCAAGTTAACCTTTATTATTTTATGATGGGGTTTCTATACTGTACACTGCAAGTGCCTGTTCCTAATACAGACACAAGCTGCATTTTAACTGTACTAACTTCATTTGTGTAGTTCTTCATTAACATGCAAATATCTAGGAATCCCATCAAGCAGGATGAAATAATGTAGAAAACCCTTACTTAAAAAAAACAAAACAAAAAAGAAAGCCTTTTACTGTTTGTGACCCCCATTCTTAGGTTTCCTTTATTGTGCGCAAAATATTTTTCCTCTTTACGTATCCCTATGGTTCAATTATATGGTTTCTTATTTTGGTACAAATCCCCACAATATTCCAGAATGTGCTGTTTTGTGACTAGATTCTTTTTTTTTTTCTTCTTCACATCCAGTGCAGAGGTGTAATAGGAGACAGATTTCCACCCACAAAGGCTCCAGATGTTAAAACATTTCCCAACATCGACTTAATACAGTGACGGCAACACCTCCCTCCCGCCCCTCCCAGTAGGGTTGGGATTGTACTGTATTCCCTACTGGTTTACCCTTCCCCCCAGTAAAGGGTAGCATTTTCCCTGGGTGCAGAGGCTCCCTCATAGTCTCCCAGACTGAAGGACCTGCAAAGGGAAAAGATAACAGTATAATTAAATCTTACCTGGCACCTCTGGCAGAGAGTTACATAAACAGAGTCTTTTGCAAGCATTAAATGCCAACCTCTAACTTAAAAATAGATTTATGCCCTTTTAAGTCTGTTAAGAAATCAGCCCATTTGTATCGGATAAATTATTATTCATGAAACCACAATATATGCTTTGAAGCTACACTGACAGTTCCACTATTGTGTTAAACTTATATTTAAGATAAAAGCACCCTATATATTCTAAATGGGTTTTCCATTTTTAGCACAAAATTATGAGGTAGCTATGACATTGACAAAAAGTATTAAACATATCTGCAAGTGACCTAGCAGCTTCCTATTCGAGTGGATTAAGCAAGCTGGCCATACTTCTCTGCAGTTGAAACTGAGAACAATGAAGGATTTTTATCACTTTGGTTTCCTTTTCATCAGGAAAAGAAAACATCCTTATGTCAGAAACTAAAATGCCCTCACTGATAAGTATGTAGCTGTTTTATTTTTTCATTGTTCCGGTCAAACATGTAATGTAAAAAATTTATGACACTGACTGTGAAAAAATCTTAGGCTGAATTTTAAATAGTTGTCCATTCCAACACTAAAAAGAACTGCATGATTCACTCTTTTAATTTCAGTACAAAAATTCTATTAGAAGTATCAAAATTGTATAAAGAGTAAAAGAATAAATTTAATTCACTCTTTTTTTGAGTAATATAATAATCTCTTCATAGTTATCACTATGAAGACATTTGCTTTATAAAGCATACACAGGTAGCATACAAAGCAAGGTGGTATAATAACAAAGGTACTCTGGAATGCATTTTCATTGTTCTTTGTTGAAGCTGAATCATTCTCCACACAGAAGTGTCTAAGAATTCTGAGCTGATACACAAAATGGAACATGGCATTAAGAAACATGTATCAGCCTCCCCCAACATCAAGCGTTACAGTTACTTTAGAAAGATAATTTAGCATGTAGTTAGGAGGCCATTAGACTTTTATAGTGTATTAACAAACCTGCTTTTTTATCCTAGGAGAGTATTCACACTTAGACCATATCTGCCATCTATTAATTCATAACATATAAGCTAGCCTGTGTTTTTAGTACGATGACTTGAGGATCATATTCACCACTTTGCTTATTAAACTTGAACCAGCACTTTGTTATACCTACACTTCCAACCTTCTTGATAAACTAATGTGTGTATCATAGACTCAGTTTTTCTTTCTGTCTCTGTAACAATAAAAAAAATCAGACAAATGCTTTTGCTACAGTCACTATCATTTAGGTATATTATCATACGTTCTTTCCTTCATATAGGAAGCAGTAGCCCAGCAATTCTAGACTGATGAATTAATTTTATTTCATATGATGCTAACAGGGAGGAAGTCCCAGTTCTCTTTGGCAAGCAAGACTCATGTGCTTACCTCTAATTATGGGACTGCAGCTACAGTGCATGAGGTTAAACTCCATAGTAAGCTGCAAGGCGCTCTTTTAAGGGAAGAGGAAACTGGTCAGAGAAACGCCTCCAATTCTCATCCCCAACTTGATTTTTAAATCCATGAAGAATCTACAAATGAGAAAGGGAAAGTCAAAATAAGCAAAAAATAGAGGCTACATTATTTACTAGCTTCATATGCAGTAAGCCACAAACTGCTGAGTTGTACATCTGGCAATTTGAATTCTCCAATATCACACTGAAATGCTACAAAGAAGCAAAGGAAGTAGAGTAAGATCTTTCTAATGTGTTTCTTTAAAGGTGACACAAAGTATATAGCTACCCAAAGGAACTAGTGTATGTATATGTATTTATGTATATATTTAATACATAACTTAAAGCTTAGAGTTAAGCCATTTCAGAATGTTTATTTGTAATTTTTTCAACTCATTTTTCGTCCATCCATCCATCTCATCAATTGACATATATTTTAAGGTCATATATTTTAAGACTACTGCGTTCACATTTATTTTTTAATAGATGTGAAGTATGTTGTGGGAAGTTAAATTAAATGGCAGCCAACTTCTGACAGAATGAAACTGTCAATTTCTAGCACAAATATAAAATCTTTGAGAACTCTGTTTTCTGCATAGAACCTCTAAGACAACATCACTAAAAATTAAACTCTTAAAACCTTCTTTGTTTTGAAATAACAGGGATCCACAGTCAATGGCAATCCAAAGCCAGTGAAAGAGGAAAACAATCTACAGGTTTCTGTCTGGACCGTTTGATGTAATAAACTAACTGAAAATGAAATTACACTATCCAAAAAAAAAAAATCTTAGTGTGCTATCTTTTAAAACAGCAACTAAAAGCAAAATATTACATAGGACAAAATCAGAGAGAATTACTGTTCCTCACAGAAAATTATACTAAGAAAATCTAAAGTTGTTTTTTTTTTCCTTTTTACACTCAGTGTAACCAAACTGTGGAACAGTCTGTCATGAACACATCCTCAAATAAAAGGCAATGTCAAAATTCAAGCTCATGATAACAAGTTCAACACAAGACTGTCAGAGCTGTTTTTAAACAGATGTAGTGGTAATGGCATTATATGCAACCAGTTAACTTACTGCTTTTCTCCCTTCCACAAGCGGGTTCTTTCCTAAACCCAGAGTCACATTAACCAGCTGCTAAGAAAGTCCTGAAAATCTAAGAATGCTCAGTTACAGACAAATGGTTATGAGTCAGATTTTAACAATGGAGCTCATCTATCCATGCTCTTGAAAGTATTTCTCTTCCTGTTTGAGTACTAAAGAATAAATAAATAAAAAAAAAACCCCAAAGCCTGGACAAATCCAGTTTCTTTCCCTTGTTGCTAAAAGTCATAATTACTGTTGGAAAAACATCTACTTGGATTACAGCAGTCACATAGTCCTGAAGAAGTTGTCTAAACACCCTGTGTGTTATCACTGAAGAAAGCGCTGTCTCCTTTCCTGCAAGGCAAAAAACCCCCACAAAACTACAGTAAAATTGCTCGCTTAAAAAAGCAAGGATGTTCTTACACCAAGTGACCAAGAACCACTCTATTTAGTTTGAATGCATTGTTTCCCAAATGGATAACTTGGAAAGAATCTGAGAAAGAGGAGTTTAATCTGCTGAAGGACTGGTGCAAAAACATGCAGTGAGACTACTTTGGGCAATCATCACAGACTCTGTCCAGGACCCCCTTTTAAGTTGTAATTGATGTTTCATTCTGTTGATGTTAGAATACTCATAGCATTTTCTAAATCTATTGTTCCTTGGAAGGAGGCTGGTTATCTGAGAGACTAACTAGGACAGCCAGATTTCTGCCTTTGCTCTTAAAGATGGAATAGAAAAGTTCTAGCTTCTGATTTGATGCTCACACATGTCAGTAATTGAAGAAAAAGTGCCAACCCATGATCCTAATAAGTACTTAAGAATATGCTCCATTTCTGATTTAGAAAATCATGAACCTTATTTTTGACAAAGAACCTTCTAAAAATGGGGATTTCATTTTAGAACTTGTGAGGCAAACCCCTTCTCTCTCTCTCTTGCTTGCTCTCTCTCACTATTTTTTTAAATTCAAGACACTGTTTCCAAAATACCATGTATCATTCTGTGTGGGGCTTTTTTGTTTTTTATTTACTTAACACAAGGCAAACAGTCCTATAGTTTAAATTTCCCTGACACTTTGCCTAGGGATTTATTCTTAGGTATAACTATATTTTAGTTTCTTGAAACTTACTCAACCAAGAGGGATTCTGAAGAGGATTAACCAATGTCTTATTTTCAGCAGGAGTTATGAGAAACAACTAAGATACCACTGGGATATTTTTAATTTGCAATTTATGTATATCTCCAAAATAAAGTAGCCATCTTTGTGGCAAAAAACAGTCTTGAACCACACAAATCTCATTTTATGAAGAAAAAGTCTTACATGTAGTATAAACTCCCCTGTTCTTCCCAATGCAGGAAAAGCATAGTAGGCTGGACATTATGAAAAGCTGTTTGAGGATCATTATCTCTTCAAAAAACACCTCAAGTGAACTTTGCAACTATTTAAAAAAGTTTGGAATAATCCAAATGCATATAAAAAGATACAGGTTAAAATAAGAAGTCAGGATTTCCATGTTTCTTTGTCTCATGATCACACACAGAGTAAGTACCAGCAGTGCAACAAAGAGAACAAGACCAGAGGATATAAAAATACCACCACTAGACTATACTATTATCTTAGCAATCTTACCTTACAGAACATGTCTCGAAGATCATCTTTTGGGCTAATCCACGATGCAACAGCATCACAAAAAAATATAAAGTCCTACAAGATTAAACAATCATATAGGTTAGAAACCTCAATTTATACATCTGAAAACAATGCTTGATGTTCATTCTGTGAAGTGGATGGTCTTTGATCCAAATTTTCAATGGCTTTTGCTTTTGTGTATTTATTTTCCACTTAATTCAGACAATGGTAAATTACTGTGTGTCTAAATGTTCAGCTACAAAATTGCTGAGGGTCCTAAGTTAAACCACAGTGAAACCAACCACAACTCTCCCCTCTACACCACACTAGTATAACTTTAATTCTTTCAGTATACCTACAAATGCAATATCTACTTCCTTTACTCACAAGCAACAAATGTATCTCTCACACATTTCCAGCTAGGGAAAAAAATCCCTAGTTTATTTATTTAAGTAATTTTTTTCTGGGACACAGAGAACATTTATCATACAGGTTCAAAACTAAAGCCACCTCAAAATCCCTATACTCCATTCATCTGCTGTCATGCATTACCTCCTCCTACACCAACAGAACACCAGTCTTTAAAAAAATGTTGCTAATGCAAGAAATAGGAACTGCGGATGATTAGAGAAAAGATGAGTTAATTAAATGGGTCCTTATTTAACCCTTGTCTGTAAGCTCCATGAATGAACAGACAGTAGAAGACTGAAATGTAAAATACAGAATAAGGCCTAAATGAAATGAACTGAACTGAACATTTCAAAACAAGGCAAACGCTCAATTCTTGTGTTTCAGGAAGAAGAATTCCAGGCAGAAAAAAGGGAAAGATCAGTTTTGTTTTCCTCTTAAAAAATATTACATTGATACAGCTTTACTTTAGAGGTGTGGAGACTAAGATCAAGTCATATTCTATTCTTCAATTGTAAAATAAATTCAGCCACTTATTTTGAAGAGATGCATGTTCATTGTCACACTATTTGAAAAATTTATCCAAAGTTGAAACAGAATCTTCCCTACCCAAGTGTTAAGAACAAAGGGGTGGTTACTGGTTTTGTCCTGTTTTTTGTTTTAAAATCCTAGGTTACATGCAGAAAATGGGTTTAAGAATGTCAACTTTCACCTTATATTTGCATGCAGATCTTGACCACAACCTGACAGAAGTATCAAAATACAGTTAATCAAAGTTCATTATTTACATATTCATTGCCAATAAAAGACAAAAACTCATTTTAAGAATACTTCTCCCCTTTCCTTTTTAGGTGACAATTACTGAAGGATCATGACACACATCATTCACAATACAAATATTTTGTGCTCCTTGACTTGAAAATAAAGATACATCATGTTCTGTAGACAATCTCTTCAAAGTAAACTTTTTCATACTCCACATATAGCTTTCACTAAATTTCACATGACTAAGGAAAAATTAGCATCTATTAATTTATCTTACTTGGACTACTCCACTGGGGTTGACCGTAATCATGGTACATATCCCACGGAATGCTGAATCCTTTTCCTCATTGTCTCTTATGTTTCGCAGAGAGGTGCACCTAACAAATTGGAAAGCAAAACTTAGATAACTCTATTACTTTTCTTCAATCAAGTCAAAACTAGATGACAGTATCTGATGGAATAAGTCACACTGATAAGATGATCTGAAACACAATTTTGAACACTTAGAAAAACACTTGTGGCATACTGCTTTTACTAGTATAGTACCATTAGGCATCACCTCAAGAATCTGGCTTTTTGTTATACTGTAGTCAGAAAGTGTGACCTCTATTCCATTAAATACAAAAGAAACATGTATCTGAATTACTTATAAAAACTATCATTATTAGAAGCGGAACATAAAATACTGTCACAGTATGAATTATGTCAGATATCACTTACAGAACAGTTATTGAACTTTAACAGCAACAAGCAAGCTATTTTATATGTAACAAATCTATAAACATATATTCCTTACAGCATTTCAAGCCTCAGACTGAATTTTAGGTAATGCAGTTTAAATTTTACAATATTTGCATGCATTGTATTATCATTCTGGTGGATTTTAAAATGGTCTTTCATAGTCAAGCTTTAACACAGCAAGCATGTGACAATCTTATCCCATGCATAAATTAGTCGTTAGCCACAACATAAAGAATACATGACGGTGCTACTAAAAACTCACAAACCTGATAGGACAAGATTAGTCACATGGTTGGCAATGATTAAGGATTGAGATTTTGTAACCAACTGAAAATATATCTAAAAGTGAAATAGAGAGAAGAAAGAAAGAAAGAAAGAAAGAAA